TGATTCTCAAGAGAAAACGTACTATCGCCCTAGTTAGGGTTGTCTGTTACAACTAGTGAACGTGAGCTCGTTCTGTGACTTGCTGTGACTTTTTGGAACACCGTGGTGAATTAAGGCAGAAGGCCCCGGTATGCTGACCTCTCCACCAAAGCTTGTGAAACAAGACCACCTCTGCCACACATAATCCCACCAACAAGAAATTAAAGTAATTTAAAGTACCCCTCCAGTAAGCACCGTAATTCCTTCTTCGTCTGACATCAGTAAGACTGCGTATAATAAGACTTCCAAATAACCAATGGTTACCCATTTAGAGTTTAAAAATAAAAAGGAAGAAAAAGTCAATGTCTAGGTTTCATACCTTTCCAATGTATACTATTCATGCTGTTGCCTTCTTAAAGTGTTTAAGTTATTTTGCCTCTTGCTTACCTCTCATGATCATTACTGTAACCACCAATTATTGGCCAGGGACGTAACCTGCAGTGTGCTTGCCTCCTTTTCCATCTGCCATCAGTCTGCTGCTCACACGGTCTTGGTACCAGCTCATAAGGCCTATGGCTTTACAATTTAATGGGAGCTGAGAAATTGTGGGCAAATATCAAAACTCATTGTGGCTTACTATTTTATGGTCATGAATTCAAATTCCTTCATTTTGCAGATCTGAAAGCTAAGACTCCAAGGATTAAACCTCGCCCAAGGTCACACAATGAACTATAGTGAAGTGACATCTTACAATTTGTAGTTCAGACAGAAAAATGTTTTTTAGTCAAAATTGCCCTTAAGAATGTTTTAAATTATCCTTTAGCATAATATACCCTTATTAAAGTTTGAGCACTATAGAGATAGATTGAGAATAAAAGAAAAGTCTGCAGGCAGATTCTTGTCTATTCAAACCCTTTACCTTCAAGATAACCATGAAATCCAATAAACGAGAAACAGAGAGAGACGTTTTAAGTGTTCTTGCTTCTCTAGAGAATATTTTCATTTGTTCCCAGTATTAAACCTCTGTAAGCTTACTACATTTCAATTGATTAGTCACTCCTCTGAAGATTAGAGGCTTCTGTTCTAATACTCAGGTATTAAATGCACCTATAATACAATTCCACTCTGGGGATATAGGGCAGACAAAGATATACAAATACACAGTTCTCCTTGTTCCCCATGAGCACTTTTTCAACTCCCTACCTACTTATTGACAACGATCTCTAAATATGACTTGGAAAACAGGAAGAACACAAAAGGTTTACTAATGACCATTTCAGTACCCTCCAGTTTACTGATTTCCTGTTTTTCTTTTGTGCCCTGTGTGATAAAGCTTGCTCTGTAAGAGAAGTATTAGTAAATGAGAAGCCATTTGACTTACATTCAGTCATTTTGATTAGCATCTTTGGTAACTTTTTTGTCTCTCAAAACATATGGTAAAGCAACATGTAATGTTCCAATAATTGTGATTTCAAATCTAAAGTACTATTTGTTCATTCCCGAAACCTGAAGCAAACATCTGGTGGTGAACGCTTTGAGAAAAAAAGTGCCTTAGTGCATTACCTCTGTATATGATTCAAGATCATGGGTAAAAATACGTAGATGAGATCAAGCCACGAAAGCTTAAGTTGATCCGTTCAATTAAAAAAGGAAAAAGAAAAAGCCCAGGCGCTTCTGTGTTTCCTCTAATGCAGGGAATAAAGACTCTGCAGCAGCCTTAAGGGTTTCTTCCTTTCTGCCTCCTCTTGCCCTTGGATATCAACTATATCCAGTATATATCCTCCCATTGGAACAAAAGATGTGACTGCTTCGCTATCCCTATTCCATATTTGCTCAGAATTATTCCAGTTTGTGCCTACCATCAGGTTCATATTATTATGCATTTTGTTAATTAGAATTGTATTTCCTATAAAAAACTTATGTCCCATTTTTTCATGTTTTATTTTAAGATTTATTCTAGCTCATACTTTTCATTTAAAGACAACAGTTGGAATAAAATTTGAAATAAAGATGCACTGTCCATTTTGTAATGTTGTTTATTTCGCAAAGTATTTTGAAAAATAAAAAATGTATAGTGGTAGTGTATTAGTCTGCTAGGGCTGCCATAACAAAATACCACAGACTGGGTGGCTTAAACAACAGGAATTTATCTCTCACACTTCTAGAGACTGGAAGTCCAAGATCAAGGTGTTGGCTTTCAGCTTCTCCTGAGGCTCCACTCTTGGCTTACCAATGGCTGTCTTCTTGAGGATGGCCTTCAGTGGCCTTTTCTGTGCCTGTATGCCACGGATGTATTTCATCCTCTTATAAGGAAAGGACTCAGTCATATTGGATGAGGGTCAACTCTTATGACTTTATTTGACCTTAATTACCTCTTTAAAGACCCAGTCTCAAAATATAGTTGCAGTGGGGGTTAGGGCTTCAACATACGAATTTTAGGAGAACACAGTTCAGTTCATAACAGGGAGCAAACAATGCCATTAATCAAATATTCTGTAATATCTTCCCCTTGAAGAAAAAAAAATCTTAGGAAGAAAAGTGATAAAGTTGTCATTTACATGTGATATCAAATTATTCGAAATATAAATTTATGTGTGAATCATTTACATGAAATATAATTTATAAGTGAATGAGTGAATGAACATAAAATAAGCATTAACTCTGCTTTTTCACCTATCTTAATAGAACCCACAAAGATTCAGCAAAGGAAGAACCAGGCAGGCTAGGAATTCACACTTTTCTGTATTTTTTTCTGGAACAAAGAAAGATCCAGCATGAGAAATGCCAGATGGAACTGCTGCTCTTCTATATGTTCTTGGGTCAAATGGACAAATTTGGTCTTTATTCTCTGGAAATGTGGCTTCCATATTCGAAACAAGCCTGAATCTTACTTAAATAGCTTCAGTATGCAGAGCCACAAGACTGAGGCACTTTAGTCACAAACATACAGTAAAACATGGATACTAGAGTACTGGTGCACAAATACAGGTAGAGATATCTTTCCCCCCTTGTGAAGATCACACCAGTTTTTTAGAACATGGCTTTATGTTCAGTTGGATCATTTGCAGTGTTCTCACTTCTGACTTTTTTTAGTGCTTTGGATTAGGGTAGATGGATTTAGCAAATAAGAATATAGGGTGCCCAGTTAAATTTGAATTGTAGATAAACAATGATTAGTTGTTAAGTATAAACATGTCTCATATAATATTTGGGATATGCTTATACCAAAAAATTCCTTTGTGGAACATGCTTACAGTGAAAAATTATTTGTTATTTCTCTGAAATACAAATTTATGAGTCCCTTATTTTATGCGGCTACCCTACTTTGGGTTCAAGAATGAATTTTCTCCCCTTGCAGCTCCCTCCCTCCAACATTCTTAAGCTACTGTCACCAACTTTGTAAATTTAATTTCCTAGCCTTAACTTGGTGCCGCCTTTAACCTCTGTCCCAATGCATGAAAACTTCAGGCTTCGGGCTCCCTCCTATCGGCCTATGTGGTTTGATATGTAGTTATAGAATATTCTGTGTTAAAACATGAAGGTTAGTTTTATACAGCTTTTATCCCTGTGCTGAAGCATTGCATCTTTACATCATATGCCAGCATTAGTATACATAAGGTGCCTAATTGTATGGTGAGAAATTTCTGAACCTTTAAATTTCTAAGCCCTGGGCTCAGTTTGCTGACCTGTAAAATCAGGGGATTGGATTCAAGGTGTTTCCCCAAGGTTCCTTCTAACCGTGCTACTAGTCTTTGAAATGAAGTTTCCAGTAGCGCTCTTATTTGCCTTGTGAAACCTAAATTGTTCCCATTTTGAATGAATCCCTTTCTTTTTCTAGAGTAAGTAGTGTTTACTAAACATCACTAAATAAGTAATGTTTAGATTACTCAATTAATAGTTTCACCTTTAAAGCTATGTAACCTAAATTCCTTAAGGGCCAAAGAACACACTTTTCTTTCTTTCCACCCCTACTTGCACCGGGCTTTGCACACAGTGGGTCATCAGATTATGAGATCATGAACATGGATAATGTTGAAACAATCCCTTTGTGATGGGCTCTGACTGTCAAAATAGTTTTTGCTGTGAACCTAAGCCGGCTGCGCGGTTTAAGACGCGGCCTGGGAGCTGCTAGTTGTTCTCTTCCGCCATCTAGTGGCGCCAGCGCTGCTTCCGTCCGCCCCAGCGCGCAGTTTGGAGCTGCAAGGATTTTAAAGATTGTAAATCAAATGGATGAATTGTTTTATTCCTGTCATTACAGTAAAAAGGGATTTATAGAGTGTTTCAAGAGATAAAAGGTAATAAATGTTAATAAAATTTAAGAGTAACACAATGGCAGACTTTAATTCTTGAACCTTTAAATTCATGCAATTTAATCCCTTTAATATGTTAAAATGTTAAGTTGAACATTAAAGAATAAAAATATAAACTATATTAAAGTTTTTGAAAGAAAGACTATCCTTTCAGGGTGTTCTTGTATACTGTTAAAGAATGTTTTCATATAAAATAAATGTAATCATAGCAGGTGTAAAGGAAAGAAAGGGAACTGATATAAAATTCTGATAAGTATTAAATTGATAGAGAATATTTCGGTTCTGTATTGAAGCACTTGTCTTCAATTAAGTTAGAGATTATTCTCATTATTATTTATAAATGCAATACAATGTTTAATGAGTGTTGAATGATATTTAGTTTTAATGTCCTATAATCTGGAACTTTATTTAAATGTCATTATAATGGGGTTAATTGTGTGAATCTAAAGTAAAAATAAATTTCTCTAATGAATGAAATAAAATGTTTCTGAAGTGTGACTTATTTCCCTTTAAAGCTATTTTCACTGAATAATGATGGGAAAATATTTCTGACATTTTAACATTATTCTGGCTTTCTTTTGATTTTCATTTAAAATGCCAGTGCTATTATGAAGTGTTTAGATCTTTCTAATAAAAAATATTTAATTGGAATTCCATTTTGTTTGTAATACAATGGTAAGCCAGCTAAGAAATCTCCAATTTGTTTTCCAGGGTGGAAAAATCCCCATAAGGTGGACAGCTCCAGAAGCCATCGCCTACAGGAAATTCTCCTCGGCAAGCGATGCGTGGAGCTATGGCATTGTGATGTGGGAGGTCATGTCCTACGGAGAGAGGCCTTACTGGGAAATGTCTAACCAAGATGTAAGTGCTACCAGTAGCTAAACTGCCATTTTGTGAATGTAAACACATCAGCTTGCGGGGGAAATATGCCTTTTGTCTTCACTCAGATTGGCCTTTGTCTTCCTGAGAGCTGCCCCTGCTCTGTGGCCGAGCTTGAGAAGCTGCGTAACCTTTCTGAGCTGTATTTGGTTTATGTGACAATGGCAACAGAAATCACCTCTAACGTGATTCTGAATGTTCATAGGTGAAAACAAAGACTATGTAACTGTGAATAATCCCTAAACACTATTGCCACATCTCATTTCTTTTCGCCAGCTTTCACACAACTTAAGCAACCCACACACACCTCTACACCTCACGCCGACCCAATCTCAAATTGTCCAAGTATGTTAAGGACTTAATCACAGATAACATTTATCCTTTTCTAGTGTCAGGCATAGATAAGACTGGATTTTGATTGGCCGGCTATGGCTAGTACTGCTTTTGAAACTGACTCATGCTTAGTACTGTGGGTGTCTACTTACTCTCGGGAAAATGCTAGGTCCAGAAGCTGACATAGCAGCAGGTTTAAGGCCAAATACACTGCTCAGTCCTTGTTCTCAAAAGCACAACATTAAACGGCAAAGCCACTGTGGCTGGGCCTTGAAGAGCATTTGGCCTTAAGGACAACATGCACCATAACCGGCTTTGCTCCACCCGCAACACTTAGACTTTTTGGATCTGGGTCATTTGCCCACAGTCTGCTGTTCATCAGGGAATCTTATTTGAAGGACCCCTTAGCTCTTCCCTGCCACTGGGCTTTGTTTGGGGCAGTTCCTGACTACTTTTCCAGTTTTTCCAAAAACTCAATTCCACGGGCATTTGTTCTTTCACTTTCAAAAGGAACCCATATTTTGGGGTTTTGTTTGTTTTGTTTTTTCTTAACCAGTTACGTTAGGTAGTAAAAGCCACCATAGTTCCTCTTCTGCCCTAAACTCAAGATATTGCTTGCCTGCTTGTCCTATTTTAACACAACTAAAATAGGCCATTCAAGCTATTGCCCAGAATAAAAAGTCCTCCTCCAGATGAGTTACTGTCTTCACTGCACAGAAGAGGCTGCACCTCAAGTGCCCTCCCTAATTGGTATTCTTCTTAGTTCTTGTTTTAATCCGTTCCCAGGCAGACTGAACATTTTCTAAATTTCTAATTCAAAGGGCTCCAAACTGTACTAATATACTGGTATCAGTAAGAAGTTCTCAAGCCTCCAGAGATGGCATGTGTACATTTATTTGCACATTATGTACAAGTCGTACTGTACTGATATACTCATTTAAAACTATTTAGTGGATGCCATCTCCATTCTAGGAACTCGGCTTTCACCAGAGAACAAATATTACATTTGGAAGGGACTCTAAAGATTATCTAAGCCAATCCCTTTATTGGTCATGAAACAGGCATAGAGCAGTGACCTATTTCCTTAAAATCTCAGAGTAAGTGACTTATTAATGCTCTTAGAAAATAATTCCAATAAACTTCTAAAATAGGTCATGGGCAAGGAGAAGAGGAAAATTGTGTCTTTCATGGTAGTTTAGTTTACAGTACATATAGCTCCTCACATAGGGCCAGTGGTTTCTTGCCCGCATGGGGCTTACATTCTAATGGGAGGGAGACAGACTATAAACAAAATCAGTAAAAGACATAGTATATAACAAGCTAACATGACAATTACTGCTTTGGGAGAAAAAAGCAGGAGAAGAGTATAAGAGATATTGGGGTTTTGATTTAAATATATATATTAAATAAATACATATATATTTAATATATATATTGTTTTATGGTCATAAAAGTCATAATCATTGTTATTAGACATTCATAAACATTCTTATAATAGGAGGATACAAGTAAATATAAAGTGTATTCCCATGATTTTTCCTGCTCTGCCCATTTCGTAACCACGGCCAGGTTACGTGGACTATAAAGCAACCACAAAAGACACCTAACTTTAAAAGTGCCTCGGTTTCAATAAATACAAGAAAGGGGATAGATGATTTTTAGCGTCTACTTTAACAGTAACATGCTATGGTTTTGTAATCTCTGAAGAAATAGTTATTACATTTTTCTCAGCAGATGGAATACAGAATGATTCATAATACTCTTTTCCGATGTTTAGGACTTTCCTGAATCTCTGCAGAGGTGCCAATAATCAGATAGGATGTCCACAAAGCAGAGCAAGGAAAAAGGAAGATGCCAGACCACGAGACAGATTTTTCAGGAGAGCAGCTTCTGCCCAAATGTGTAGTTTGTAACATAGACCACCATGCAAACTGTTCTTAATAATTGTAGCCTAAAGTAGTCCAAGCCCTGCTGTCCACCCCTCCTCTCCTGGATCTTGCCCAAAAGTTTGCCCAGCCATTCTGGCCATGTATATTGGTGATCTGTGTCCAAGATGACCACTTAGAGAGTAATTTTTGTCTATTAAACCTCATTTGGCCACAGAGGCTCTATCTGGAACCCAGAGAAGATGCTGCAGCCAGGACTAGAGTTCCAACATTAAGCTCATTCTCATTCGTTCAGGATTGCCAGTGCTCACATGCAAGGCTGAACTCCTCTTCCACCCAGAGCCTGGCTGTTTTTCCACCAGGTAGGGTGTAAGCGGCTATATTGTCATGGTCTTGACGTACATTACCAAAGAATGTTCAAGCAAGAATCTGGGAAAAGGGGAGAAAAGAGGATGGAGGCCTGCAAAAAAAACAAACAAACCCCAAACCTGAGGTCCTCAGATCAATCCAAGACTACAGGAAAATAGTAAGAGCCAAAATCTTTTCTGTATCTTGTGAATACTTTTTGCTGCTGCAGTAAAGAGAGTTGAAATCCTGTTTAGCTTAACATATTGGAAGTCAGCATAACTGTGACAGATCCTATAACCAGGATTTTGTTTGGAAGCGGAAATAGCTTAATCAAAAATTTCCCAGCTGCTCTCTGCAAATACTGGCTATTCCCTATCTGTCCTGCATGTCTCATTTATTTGGTCAAAATATAGTCTGACGTTTGACTTTTTCAAAGCAAGGCCTATTTTGAAGGAAAATGTGATAGACACTACAAATTTGACTATGTTCTATGAGAATATTTTCTATTTTTACTATAATTTGGTGAGTTTAAGAAAGCTGTTCGTACAGATCAAATGGAGTGTTACCATGCTTTATGATTTTAAATGAGTTTAAGAAATTTCAGATTGTTTTCATGAGTTTCTCTGCTCTGCAGACTGTTGGATATTTTATTACAATGAACAATTTTGAGTCTGCAGAATCTGTTTTAGTGAATAATATAATGAGTTTCCCAAAGGTCAGTGGTACTATACTTTAGGGAAAGAAAATTTTAAAAGGATACACAGAACTAGTCCGTAAAAGACCAACAAAATATAACAGCAGGTGCCATCTGCTTAGCCGTTCGGCAGTTCCTTATTAAGCACATGCCAGTCATTAGACCGCATGTGCATATGGGGTGGGGTGGGGAATTAGAAAATCCAGTTTTCAGTAGGCCAAGCATGGTAGCTCACACATATAATCAATGCTTTGGTAGGCTGAGGTGGAAAGATCACTTCCCAGGAGCTCTAGACAAGTGTGGGGAACATAACGAGACCCTTTCTCTACAAAATATAGAAAAAATTAGCTGGGTGTGGTGGCACACACCTGTAGTCATAGCTGCTTGGAAGGCTTGAGCCCAGGAATTCCAGGTGACAGTGAGCCCTGATGTGCCACTGTGCTTCAGACTGGTGACAGAGTGAAGTCCGGTTTCTCACTCTTAAAGAACCCACTATGCAGGTAAAGAGGAAATTTGGATATCTTTAAGTCTTATCCCCACCCTCAAATATATTCTGTGCCTTCTACTTTTTTTTAAATGGAAACAATGCTGTGTGAAAACAGTTTTTTTTTAATACATATATATGCCAAGAAAGCATACAGACTCTATTTTTCAGGGTTCTTTTCATTACAAATGAAAGAAACTCAACCCAAAGTCATGTAAGCAAAAATTAGGAACTGTTTTTCATCATGAAGCTAAGAAGGTGGCCAGCATTGCTCAGTCCAGAGGCTCATGCAGGACTTTTAGTGCTTCGCTAGGTGGCTTGACCTCATTCTCTCCTCCTGCTAAGTTCTTTGCTGTCTGCTTCTTTACACTCCAGGGCTCGGTATGCCAGCTTAGCAACCCAGCAAAACGAGACCTTCTTTCTGTGAAAATTCATACACCAATCCCAGAGGAGATTCTGGCTGGCTTTGTTAGAGCCTTGCCCAGCACTAAACCAAAACTATGCCAAGGAAATAGATACTATGATTGACCTAGTTAAGTTTATATGCCAGTCTGTGCATTTATAGGTAGGTGATGCATTGTAATTGGCACTTTCCCCATAATTACCTTGAGTGAGGGAAGAATTCCCCAAAGCAATGCAGTTGTGCTATCAGAAGGTATATTTTACTTTTTTGGTACACATCATTTGCAAGATTTGCAAACGACACTGCATTTTAACACTGCAGTATCATTTGCAAGTTAATACTTGCATGTTAACATTGTGCATTATGTATTCTAACGAGGCAGCAGATTATATTGAAAAGGCCAGTCGGGCTTTAAAACAAGGTCTCTCAGCCTTAGCGCTATTGACATTTGGGGCCAGATAATTCTTTGCAGATAAATATGTTACATGCTTTGCAGAACGTTTAGCAGCATACTCAGCCACTAAACAGCAGATGCCAGTAAAACCCTCCCAAGCTGTGACAACCAAAAATGTCCCAGATGTCGTCCAGTCATCAACACTGCTTTCTAGCTAGAAAGATCTGGGTTCAAATCTCAGATCTACAACTCACTGGCCATATAATCTTAGGCAAGTTGTTTAAGCTTTCTGAGATACTAGACATACTCAGGTTCGAAACACCCAGCGCTGGAATGTGAAAGCGTTAGAGGAAATGTATATAAAGCATCTGGCACATGGGTGTTTCATCAACAGCAATAATAGCTTACATTTTCTGGTCCTACTGTAAGCCAAGTATTTT